GGCCATTATTCTCTGAAAACGGTATTTCTTATAAATCAGCAGTATAATGCATCATAAAACAATGTAATTCATTCACAATAAATCAGCAGTCTAATGTAATACAAATCAGTCCAATAAATCTAATAGTTGTCACCTTCTTCTAAGTCAAGAGTTAAATGCAACGTAAAACTACATAATGATTTCACAATCTTTAATTAGGGGTATAACGTGGCATAAGATAATATAATAATCTCACAAGGCTCAACTGAGACTAGCCTTTACTGATAGTAAGAGCCCATCAAATACAGGTGTTGCCCTTAAAAAACATTCATTACATTGGGTGGATAGAAAATACGGATGTGGTGTTTGTGAGTGTTTGCTGTGGGCCTGTTTAGTCACTTGAAGTAAAACAGGCTGATGTATTTTGATGAGATTGGATTTCAGAGTAAGAGTCAGCTTGCTGCAAATGCATGACAAACAACATTTAGACGGGTATTGAAAATATGACTTTAGAGAAGATGTTCAGCCTTTCCTGCCAACATTTCGATGCTATTACTCATCCTCAACAAAACAGCTCAAAATACTGCAGAGCACGATACGAATAGACCTACTGTAGTATAGATATGCATTAAAGACAAATTGTGGTGCGGCCTACATTTTTAATGCAAAGCTATTCAACTGTCAAGCATACTAAATTAAATGGCTTCACTAATTATTAAAGTGGCCTGTTGTAGACTAACTGTCTGCACTGTTCAGACATATTAGCTGGAAGATAGATTGAGAATATTCCCTCACTCTATCCATCAGCTTTCTCTAGTGCTTATTTTATGCCAGGATGTATGAGCTGAAATGCATCCCAGCATGCATTTTGCCAAATGCAGGCTTCTGGAACGGTGCCAGTCTGTCATAGGCGTAACACACTGACAGACTACCACGCTTTACATTACCTGTGTGTTTCATATGGTTTATGACCTGTGGGGCTTTTTGCCCATGTGGTGTTGTTTGTTTGGCCCAGCGTTAACACACTTAGTCAAGCAAGGAAGAGTAAAAATTGCCACAGGTGCTGCAGTTATTGTCCTGTGAAGTCAAAGTAGTCCAATCTCAGTGAGTAGTATAGATTACATGTGATTTTTATCATAAATTGTAAATACAGAAAAATCAGAGTCTTGTGCATGCATAGCCTAATCTTTTTTTCTGGTAAATCTTTTAACCATACAGATTCATTTAGAGCAGGGGTGCCCAATCCCGGTCCTCGAGAGCTACCGTCCTGCAGCTTTTATGCATCCTTGTTCCCACACACCTGAATCAAATGAATGGCTTGTTATCAGGCCTTTGCCAAACATGATGGCATGCTGAAGAGGTAATCAAACCATTTGATTCAGCTGTGTTGGAGTAGGGATGCATCTAAAAGCTGCAGGATAGTAGCTCTCGAGGACTGGGATTGGGCAGCCCTGATTTAGAGCTTTTGAACTGTGACGGTCATAAAAATCATCCAGCAAATCATCAGTGTGGTTCAGTTGCTAGGACATGGCAGCTGTGCATGGCATGCTAATGGCATAACCTAAGTACAAAACTAAGCTGATTAGGTTGTTGGTATTGATGTTTAATATAGATGCTGTAGACATGGACATGCATTTTGTCCTGCAGCCCTGAACTCTTTCTAGGACTTAGCTGACAGATCTGGATGTAAGAGATCAAATGAGGTATCCTGATGATTTTGATGATTGGCCTTGGGGTCTTGCATCCCCAAGGCCAGCTAAACCAGACCGTAGGTGGAGTAGAAACCCAACACTCATATTTGCATTTAACGATGATTTAGCATTTCCATGTTTTCTGTTTGTTTTCTCCAGATGGTTCAGTTTCCACTAACATTTATATAATAATTCTAACCAAAGAGCTGCTTTGCCACCCTAATGACAAAATAAATCCAACCAGATACCGGGTATTAAAAGACTCAGATCTATATCGGGGGCAATCAGGAGCTTATGGGTGCTTTTGCTGTAACACTGACCATTAGTGATTAATGAAATGCGAACCACGAGGATGTTAATCTGTTTCGTCCCTGTGGATTGTTTGTAAAGCCCCATAGCGCTGCCTCCTCCAGCTGTGAATGATTTCATTCTTGATGAGCTTTTCTGTCACGAGTTGTTCCATTCACGTTCACTAGACATAAGGTGAGGATGCAACAAGTCCTGGCTGCCTCCAGCTGCTCATTATGTCTGTACTATGAGTCAATATTTGCTCCATCTTTTCCACTGGGCTTTGGTTACAGCAGTGCTGACAGTACAGTGTGCTCTCAAGTTGGGTACTATAAGTGGGCACCCACCTTCTTAATTTGAGGCCAAGCCACATTCTCTGAGTATCTTTATACTTCCATAATCACAGCGGTGCTCTACTTGACACAGATGTGTTTGTGTGCATTTCTGAGGCAGAGCCGCCTGTTTGCCTTGAGGTAAAAATCAGGCTGCGTGTTTATAATGATGGCCTCACACATACTCAGAGGTGGGAGAATTAACAGGGCAGACTGTTTAGCTTTGAGTTTGTGAGTCAGGATGCGTGTATGTTTGCATGCTGTCACCTTTGCTGAAAACACTCAGGTAGCCCTCTTCTCAGGTCTGACGGAGGTGGAAGGATACTTGGAAGGCATGTTAATCGAGCCACATTTAGCATGTCTGCATGAATTTGTTGTGTCCCGTGTGCGTAATGCTCTGTTTGCCGTTTCTGTGTATGCACGTGACAGTGTCGGGCAGGGAGTAACAAAAGCCCCATTGTGGAGGCAACTGTGACTGAACTGGCCTCCAAACGTTTGGTTTGTCCAGGCAGACTGTGTGTGTGTGTGTGTGTGTGTGTGTGTGTGTGTGTGTGTGTGTGTGTGTGTGTGTGTGTGTTGCTGGGAGGTGGTGGTGGGGGGGTAGCAGTGTATGGGGCACAGTGAGTGGAGGAGGACAAGTTATGGTAATGAATGAGCTCCAGTGTGTGCAGTCAGACCTCGAGCTACTGAACGGTCGTCAAAATGCTCTCCGCTCGTGTCGCTGAGCTTGTCGTTTTTCTCATTTGTGGTGAGTTTATGTCCAAATTCAAAACTTTTCATGAAGACTTTCATTTTTTATTTACCAAGACAAAGACATCAGGCTTTGTCTTGGTAAATAACTGTTCTTAGATGTTCTTGCTTGTTCTATGTTCTACAAGTCTACCAGCTTTTCTAGTATTTGTGTACTACAATTCTTAGACGAGGATTATCATGACAAACCTGTTAAGAAGCATTGACAAACACCTGTGACAGGTTGTGCTTTACGTACATCAGCTGCACAGATTGTGTGTGATAATATTGTTGTGCTGCTGAGGGAGATGTGACATATGGCTCCATTCAGCTACTTTTACTAAAAGCAGAGCTGTTTGTCTCACTTTTTAAATATTTATTGAGTGAACTATTGTGTTTTCCTTTTGATAATATTTTCTTCTAAACCTAACTGAGTGGAAAACTCATAATGCACATGCACCAAAGTAAAACAGGAAAAAAAGGGATTTAAAAGATACTGATGTTGCGAGTCAGAGTTTGTTCTAAAACCAAAGGATCCTAAAAGCAAAAGCTCAGGCGCTTTAAAAACAGCAGCCAAAGCTCACATTTGAATAGCTGGAAGCAGCAACAGTCTGGGTCTTTCCAATTGATAAATGCCTTTAAAGGATTATTTAAATCGGGTTAAGGTAATAGGCAAGATTTAATTTTGCACATATGCACAATGCTTACATTGATGGGCCATGAGGATATTTAATGTCCTTTCAGAGCGGGATATTAGAAAGTATGGAGTCTTTCACAGACAGCTCACAATGCATGTGGCAGTTAAACAAATGGAAAACACGATCCTTGGAGCAAAACTGCAAGGCAGTTCATTTGTGTAGTACATTTCAATAAAGTGGAAATTCAGAGGGCTTTCTCAGGGTTTAAAGGCATTATGGTAAAATATAAAGCAGGCATAAGGCAATCTGAAGTTACTGTATAAAAAAGGTGTAAATACTAGTGTGAAGTACAAACAGAAGTAAATATTTGAGCAAACTGTACGGTCTTGATGAGCCCCGCTGGAGACACGGCGCTGTGTAACATTATTTACACTCTGTTGTTGTTTTCAGTCATTTCACTCTGAGAAATGAAAACTCATTAGGTCTTTTATGATGAGGCAGACAGTGGGCCTCTCTTTTTCTTCTCTGCAGCAGGACGTAATGTTTACACAGTTGACTTGCCAGCCTGGATTTTGTGTGTGTATGTGTGTGTGTGTGTGTGTGTGTGTGTGTTCAGCCTCTTTTTCTTCAGGGTTGGATCCGTTTAAATGATCCTTCCAGTTCCCACTGCCGCTCCACTCTCTTTGGACCATTTCTCCTCGGGTTCACAGGTCAGCCAGTGCCTAGGCAACACTGTGGTGGCAGTGAGAGGGTTTTAGGATACAGAGCTGTTGACATGGAGATGAACTGAGATGGAAATGGTTTTCTCAGATGTCTGTGTCTTGCTACTCCATTATTTTGTGGTTTTACTTTTCTCCTCTATTTACCATTAGATGAAAACCTTTTGAAACTTTTGCTGCCAGGTTTTAGACTCCATCTTATTATTATTACTATTATAAGAAGGTACCATGATGGCACCATGTTCAGCACTATATATTTCCCTGTCAGCTGGCAGGACCAGGTTACTGTTGTGAGCATAATTGATATCATAAAGTTGGCTTTACAACATCCTGCAGGGACCCACGTAAGCTACTGCCAAAAATAGAATCCAGTTTTATGTATAACACTTGAAATGTTGTACACAGATTAATGAAATAGTAAAGTCCCATGTTGATCCCTGGGCAGAAGACAAAACAGTACTATTTAGAGTTCTAAGCCAGTGAAGCTGCTCACTATGATGCTTTAGATTGATGTTTTTCAGTTTTCCTAATTCTTTCATTTCTCTTTCTACCTTTACTTTTAACTTAAAAAACATATATATACTGTATTTCTACCTGTTCTCATGCCACTTTGTTTCTCCACAGTGAACCTGATCCCCACCACACCGATAGTGGAGGAGCGCCCTTTCCATGCTGCGGATGGAGGTATCGGGGTGGCTGTGGGGAAGAGCAGAAAGCGAGTGTTCCCACATCCACACACCCAGGAGCCCAACCCCATATTTGAGGCTTATGGGTACTGCAACATTCCCAACCGCACTGAACAGGCCTGGGAGGGTGAGACCTGCACAGTGACACAAAATCTGATTTAAGCAAAATCTGAAAAAAACCTTTATGCTGTGTGTGATTGTGAGTCTGGTTATGTGAGAGACACATTGTTGAGGCCGGCTCTCTCTTTGCACGAGTCAGAAGCAGATTTGATGGACAGCACAAAAAATGCTTAATTTAGTAATAATGTCAGCTTTAGTGTGTCAGGGCACGAGGGATGTGTTAATTTTGGAGACGTCACTTCTCCTGGACTGCATCATCTGTAATGCTGCAGCTCCATCTCACTACAGCACAGCTCTGTTTCTAGCCTGAGGCAACCATACAAATATCCTGCACTGCTTGAGATGAGTTACACAAGCAACCGCTAATTCACTGCGTGGTAGTTTCTCTCACCGGAGGAAAATAAATCACGTTCATCATTTAGATTTATTAGAAATAATAAGAACAAGAAATAATAAATAATCATATATTTTTTTAGACAGTTTCAGACACTGGACAATCACTAAATACAGATTTTCCTGTTTGGCTATGCAAGTAAATAAGTGTCATTTTGCATCTTAATGAAAAATTAATGTTCTTTTTTATATTTTTCTTTTTTCCACACATACTTGTGGATCAACCATTACGGAAACATAAAAAGTATTTTTGCTACTTATACTTGTGTTGATTTATAGCATCTGTGGCATAAAGCTAGATTTGACAGACACTGTGCGTCCAAAGTTATTGACATGCGCAGTGGTGTTTTTCTGTTTTAAGGTGGTGTAATGTTCCCAAGGACACACACTCATTTCCCTGCATCTCCTATCTTCTGATTTGACTTTTAAATAACTCACTTACACTCACAGTCATGCACTCACAGACAGTGCTCCAATTTCTTTGATGTGTCTCATGTTGCTGCCAACTCCAGCCTTAGTTGATGCCCCGAGCAGAGCACTTTTGCTTCAAATTGTCTCAAATCTTGTGATATTTTTTGTATAGTGCACTATATGCTAACTATCTCTGCCTTCCATTTGGTACTAGGTTAAAACAGTGAATTTATGAGAACTTTAAAACTGAAAATATTTCTCCCTTGTGTGTCAGAATGAGTACATGTTGGACTATGTAACAAAAACAACAGTGATAGTTGGGGAAACAGCTCTGTGGAGAATGCCAGAAACTCTACGGGAGATAATTCGATGTACTTGTCGCTAAGAGTCACACTTTGTAAAGTGATTGCATTGTTGATAGAAAGAAATGAACATACCTGCTCTAATTTCTTATCATCATATGCCTGCTACATCCTAATCTAACCACAGTCTTGATGCTTGGATAAGTAATCTGATATCTGCTAACAAAAGGGAGAATAATGGCGAATAATGGTGCCTTTTTCCACCGCATGCATTGGAACATTGCTGAAGATGGTCTCCTCTGACAGGTCACAGTCCTGCTGACTACAAGCTGCTGTCTGTCCATGTGATGATTCGCCATGGTGATCGCTATCCGCTTTATTCCATTCCCAAGACCAAGCGACCCGCCATTGACTGCACCCTGTCCACTAGCAGGTACACCCACGTTTCCCATTAGATGAACAAATACAACCTGCAGCATTTTTTATTAATCACATTCTTATTCTAACATGATGCTACAATAAACCTCAAGAAATGTTTTCTGGACTGATCTAAAAGTGTAGCGGAAGCTGATTAGTGTGGTGTTTTACTCTTTTAACAGAAGGGCAAGAGCATGAGTGGCATAAGTGTTACAGTGGTTTCTACAGTGTGAAAATGAAGGCTTTGTGCCCACTGTTTTAATTAAACCAGATTGGAGAATAGTGCTTCCTTAGCAGTAACTATCTCCCAGCTATGAACTCTGGCCCCCTTTGTCTAATGGTTGGCAGGAAGACCTGATGGGAAGTGGGTGAGAGTGAGACACCAATTACTGAACCAGGCTTTGATATCCTCCTACAAAAACTGCTGGCTAGATAACAGCTGTCAGAAAATGAGCTCAATGAGAAAGCAGCTTTAGATTTTTTTTTTGTGTGATGTTCAAGAGCCTCACAGCAATTAATTTGCATCACAGTTGGTAAATCAGGACCTGTATAAGCATTAAACATATGAATACCCCAGACAGTCACTTGGTTTTCCAGCGATTGCAGGCGGCAGGACAGAAACTCCCTATAGAAATGCGTGGAAGCGCACACACACACACACACACACACACACACACACACACACACACACGCAGAAATTAATATTGTTATCTTCCTTTATTCATTATGCTCCATTCTCCAGACTTTACAGTGCGTCTGCTCTTCCCGGCTCTGCAGCTCAGTCAAGAGGGGGCTAGACAAGACTTCCTGATAGGAAGTTATTAAAAGCCAGCTTGCCCCTGTGCTTGAGCTTCAGAAGAGGTCTGCTTCTGTGTGGTTGTGTTCACTTCAGTTATTGCAAATGCACGTTGCTATGGCAGTTTTTCTTGTTATTCGGTCAGATGGGTTTTGTGCACTCACACTCTGTGGGATTTTGGACCATATGGTCAATAAATTCTCTGTGACCGGTCGTGTGTTTGGGCTGTGTACCTGGCTTCAGATTCAGTCACTTCTTAACTTAATTCTGCACCAAGCTTTAAAGCAGCAACATCAGCTCTGCACATCTGGACAGTGCAGGCCACATGCCAATCTCTCAGGCTGAAACAAAGGGTTGCATTTCAGATTAGTTAGTTGCAGCTGATATGCAATGAACATTTGATTATTAAATATAAAGCGTCGCTCTGGTTTAGGTGGTTTATGATCAAGTACCTGCAAGAATAGAATAGAATAGAATAGAATGCCTTTATTGTGACTATACTGTTGTACAATGAGATACAGAATAACAGCGTTCCCATCAGGCGGAGTGGCAATTTGTTTTTAGTGCTTATTACTGAATATTGACTTTCAAAGATTTTTGTTTTGTCTTTAATAAAGTAGTTCTCTACTTAGATTGTATTTTTACCACATAAGTTCATTCACAAAGATATGTAGATCCACATATATTGGCCAATATTTGTTATTTGATTATATATTTGTGTCTAAAGTGAAATTTAAAATGAGTAAAGTAGAGATGGAGGAAACACCTTTCCACCAGGTTATTGGAGTTTGTCCTTCAGAGGCAGGACTTCCCTGTTGGCAACTCTACAAAATCAACAACCAGCTGATCTAAGCAGAGTCGGGCAGAGCATAAACAGTAATCCATGACTAGTTGTGACAGAAAAGTAAAAATATATTTAAAAAGCACTGTCACATCATCTTAGTAATATGGCCATGCCCATAGCAAAGCTAGCATATAGCAGCAGATTTTGGATTTGATGCGTTGTGTTGTTGTTTGGTGTTGAACTGCCTTCACTGTGGAAGAATTTAGTGCTATTTGTATTCAAGACTCAACTTGCTAAATATCTCAAGTTGCACCACTACCCTAACTTCCGTTCATTGTTAGTCCAACCGTCTGCAGTGGTACAGTACACAGTGACCATGGTGCTACATATGACATATAACAGACAGTCAACACAGGACTACATAAAGTGCAATGTTCAAAAATTGCAAAAAAAACCCCCCAAAGATGGTGCAACACCAGACAGAACAGAGCGATACAGACACAAGACAGTGCAGTCACAACAGTGTAATTAGAAATGTGCAAAAGACTGCGTATTGTGTAAAAAGTCACAATACTCAGTCTTGTACTATAATACTACTACCAGCACAGAAGTGTCCCATTATCTTCGTGTTTATCGGTCTGAGAGCATCCCCACTCTTCTTGTTTTGCTGCTGACCAACTGGTCCTGACTAATCCTGACTCTTCCCGTCTCATTACATCATGTCACATTCTCCCTGCTGGCTGCAGTGCTGTGCGTTTTGCTGTTTTGAGGCCCTCTGTATCATTCAGTTACACCCCTCTGAGTGGATCTCTCTTGATTTTTCTCCACCTCCACCGTCTTGGATTGCAGATGGTTAGTCCTTCTGATCTTGTGAGCTGCTGTGAGCTGCACGACCACTCTAAGCAGGAGGACGACTGGTTCTTTGCTACGGAATCATCAAGGCTACTTTGCAAATACATATTCACAGAGGAGCAACTAAAAAACAGAAAAAGCTTCATGCACACATGTATACATACCAGCAGACTGAGATAGAAGCTCTTTAAATGTAAAGTTATGTACAGAGAAGCCTGCACAAAACTGCCTGGTTCTTATCTTCGCCCAGTGTGATATAGCAGCCAGTGACAACACTTTACAGGCCCAGGAACAACTTCTTATGGATGCAGTGCTTCTCTCTTATGTCCATAATTCCACGGTGCCGCTCAGGCTGCCCAGGAACACCACAGAATATGATAAAGTCCAGCATGTGAAACCTGATAAGCTGAGAATGGACAGGTTTCCTAACCATGCTGAGTTTGCTGATAACAACCCTTTGATTGAGAGTGGGCATTATTTAAAAGGTCTAGACACTAAAATGCTACAATAATATGAGTTTCCTCAGTTTTATTTATGCAGGATTAGTTTGTGGGGAAATAGCTCGTTCTGTGCAAAGTTCAGTATTATAAGGGGCATTTTAATGCTTATATATATTTAGCTGAACCATCAACTTGCTCTTCTGTCGCCACACATTTTGCATCTCCCCGTGAATATTCTGTGTAAACACTCACCTCTTTTCATTTTTGGCTGTAACTAAATGACCATCATGACAGTGTGTTTCATTTTTGATGGCCATGTTTTCAGTGTCAGTCCTCAGTCTATTTAGTCCCAACTGAAATATCTCATCTGTTAAAGATTTATGAATAAATACTCCATCCATCCATTTGCTTATCCTTTTCAGGGTCGCGGGGTGCGCTGGAGCCTATCCCAGCTGTCTTAGGGCCAGAGGCGGGGTACAGGTCGCCAGTCTGTCGCAGGGCTAACACGTAGACACAGAAAACCATTCGCACTCATAGTCACGCTAACATTTTCTCACGTTTACCACATGGTTTAAATTAAAACCACGTTGTAAACATGACATTTTTATGGCTGAATTTTGGCATTTTTAACTTAAGAGGTCATGGGGATTGATCCACTTGTGAAGCAAACTTCAGCTTTGTTTCAAGGGGGGTTGGACACTTCCTTGTTGGCTTCGGTCCCAAACATTGCTGCTTGCTTGGTCACCACTTCAAAATTCTTTTCAGGTGTAGATCTCAGAAAGATTCATAACCTAGCTGAAATGCATTTGTCTTGCTTTGGTGAGTCTGTTGTATGTCTTGGTTTATTCTGGTAATAACATAGGTAGTTCTGTTTTTATTTAGACCAGCATGTAATTACAGGGATCTCAACTAGCATATGCCCTGGGCAGGATCCTTACAGAGAGCTCAGCAGTGTGTGTCCTTGTGTGTGTGCGCCTCTGTGTGTGTACCCTGGCACCAGCTTGTCGACCCACTGTCTCCGTCTGTGGTTAACTGAGCTCTTTCATCGGGGAACATCTCTTCTCTTCTTCTTCTGCTTTTTCTTCTTCTACCAATGCAGTCTTTGTCCAGGTTTTTGTCTCCCTGAACCAGTCATCCGATTTGCTTTCATCCCAGCTTTGACCACACCATCTCATTCCCTTTTTTATTTACCCCACCCCCTCCACTCATGCTACCTCTTCTTTCCTCATCTCTCCATCCCTTCCTCCCGCCACACTAATCTTTCCCCCCATCCCATTCAGTGATAATAATCCCTGCTTAATGTAATTGGGCTGTGTAATCTTTGGTTAGCAACAATCAGCCTAATAGACAGCCTGGCTGGCTCTTTGTCTGCACTAGTGTCCCCATCCGCTGACATCCAGTCTCCCAGTGTAGCCAATTAAAATGTGAATTGTCTCAAACTCCCTAAAGCAAAGTCATCAGTTGATGGCACTGAACTGGAGCACTTGTGGGCACTGAATAGCACACATTCAGTGTCGTTTAAGGGAGTATTAACTTGTGATAATGCAGAGAAAGGTTTGGTTAAATGGTGACAACAGCTGCTGATGCAGCATGATAGGAAAAGGCAATAATGACTAAAAAACTAAGAGTTTAGTGCTGTGAAGCCTTTGTTTTGGCATAAAAAGCACAAACTACCCATTGTCATCATGCAATTGTCCTTTGTAATGTAGCTGCTGGCTGTAGAGCTGCGTCACAACAATCACAGGCATGATTTAAGGGTAATGACGGCTCTGTGTGCGTGTTGTTTTTTTGTTTTTTTCTAAAACGGCTCATTCCCGAACCAGTATGTAATCACTATGGAAACTGTGTATGTGCGCATGACCCGTTTTAATCTGAGTGAGCTGAACTGCAGCTCCCTCAGATTTGTTATATTGAACTGTAATCTTCAATCATCTCTAATCTACTACAACTTGGATTGCTCCTCTCGCTGCCCTCATCCCTACGTGTTTGTGCGTGCTTGTATGCGTGCTCGAGTGGGTGTTAGGCTTTGTGCGTGTGTACATGTGTGCATTTCTCCCAAGGCAACAAATTCTTTCATCTTTTTATATCTCCATTTCCCGTATTGCCTCCCACACATATTGAACAGTGCTGCTGCTGCAGAGCAGTGTTGTGCTGGAGAGACACCTGGTGGTGAATGTGGGGAGTGGCACCACATGCTGCGACTGATGATTATTTTCATTACAGGTTATCTTATCAGCTTTGTTAAGATTTCTAAGATGGCAAATGACAATTTCATAATTTTTTTCATACCCCAGTGTGATGTTATAAGATTATGTAAATTGTATAATACAAAAACATCCTCACATTTTGGAAGCGCGCTGTACATTTTATTTTATTTTTTATTTTTTTAAATATAATGCAAACATAATACTGGCAAGGCAGTGAGAAGGGCCTGGTTTGAATCCACCATCCTTTCTGTGTGGAGTTTGCATTTGTTCCCCGTTTCTGAGTGGGCTCTCTCCGGGTACTCTAGGTTCCTAACATGCAGTTAGTGGGGTTAGGTGTGAATGTGAGTGTGAATGGTTGTCTGTCTCTCAGTTGGCCCTGTGTGGCAGTCTGTCCATGGTGTGGATCTGACTTGAATAAGTGTAAGAGGATGGATAATACTAGCAGGCTTCATAAAAATTACTGCAAAGCCTCAATACATAGACTTAAGTGATGCATTGGCTTGCTGTTTTAGCTTTACTGCACACCAAGAAGGTCCATGGTCTGAATTCACTGGCCCTCTGGGACCATCTGTGTGGAGTCTGCATGTTCTCCTTATGGCAGCTTTGGTTCTCTCCGGTCCACAGGGAGACTCCCACAGTCCAAAGACGCGTTAGGTTAACTGGTGATTCTAAATTAGCCGTAGATGTGTGTTGGTCCTGTGGTAGACTGGCAACCTGTCCAGAGTGTACTTAACTTTTTGTCCCATGACACCTGAGGGAGACCCTGTGACTGTGAATTTGATAAGGAGAACAATGATGGATGTTTCAGCTTTACGAGTGTTTCATGTTTTGAGGGGGAAAAAGCATTATTATATTAATACCTTTCTTTAGTTATTGTATTATTCCTACTAATTTATTAACCTTGAGGATTTTATAAACGATTCATTATGTAAGTCAGATTTTCCATTAAGATTTAAAAGGGAGTATTTGTATTAGTTTTTATGCATTTAAAATCTTTTTGAGTGGACAACAAACATAAGCAGGATTAAAATGAGCAAGCATCATGTTAGCAAAAAGGTTAGACACTCAGGGGTCACACAGCTGCCTGCCAATGGTTAAAGCTGAAATATGAACAGGAAGTTCTGTTGAAAGGTTAGAAGCAGATTTGAGAGTTAATGTTTGCCTTTGCAATGCTGCGTTATATGGTGTAATGACATGAGCTAAAGGTTATTCCATGTGTGGATCTACTGGATGACTTTTTTTTTTTAAGAGCAGCTTTAGTAAGAAAACGCTGAGCAAATGTTTAAGATTGAGCACAGTTTAATTAATCTGTCCTCACAAATAGTGCTGTACACATTTGCTTGGTAAGTGGAAGGTTGTTGGTTCAGTTCCAGCTGGAGACACAAATCCCCTGTGGGGCTGTGCCAGGAAGGGCATCCAAACATGCAGCACTGCCCACTGTGGCGACCCCTTGTGGCAGCAGCTGAAAGTACCTATAAACAGAACTATTTGAAACAATTAATCGCATTCAAATACTCTGTTTGTCAGCCTTTACTGGACTTGATTCGGGTATTGTGTAGAGTTGCTGAGAATGAAGCTCTGCTTGGTTATTTAGATGTTACATTGAAGTCACTTATGATTGAAAATATTATGATTAGTTTGAAATATTGTAATTGGACTTTTTAAGTCATTTTAAATGATTTAAACTCATTTATCATCATTTGTCAACTGTGACACTTCTGATCAATTTAACGATGTCTTTAAGATCAAAAAGCTGATCTCCGTTCAGAAACAAAGAGCAGCTTTTAAACTGTCACGTATTTCAGCTGTGTGGGGAAACCACATCCACCTGAGCAGCAACGCAGGCTTAAGTTTGTGTTATGTGAACATGAGACCATGGATTACATCTTTAATTCCTCTTGTCTTTTCTTCTAACCCTCAGGAAACCCTCCCACCCCCTGCTGGACTCCTTCATCCATCACATGGGCCTGGGGGGTCGCGGCCACTGGGAGTCACCTCTGGGCTCGGTTCCTCGTCTGCCCAGCCACAGTGCCTGTGAGATGGGAGAACTCACGCAGACAGGTGACAAGAGCAGTAGAACCGAACTCTTACAGACATTGTTATGTGTTGAGTACTCACATAATTTATTCTACATCATTCATGCCACGTTTCATTTTCCCATCGTTGTCCAGGTGTGGTGCAGCACCTTCGCAATGGGCAGCTCCTCCACCACGCCTACAAACAACACAGTCTCTTCCCTTCTGATTGGGCGCCCCGTCAGATCTGGGTGGAGACCACAGGGAAGAGTCGCACTCTTCAGAGCGGGCTGGCCTTCCTCTACGGTTTCCTTCCGGACTTTGATTGGACGAAGCTGACCGTGCGTCACCAGTGGAGCACGCTGTTCTGCAGCTCGGCCTGCGACTGCCCTGCCAGGAACAGGTACCTGGAGGAGGAGCAGAGGAGGCAGTATCAGCTCAGAGCGGCCGATACTGAACTGGAGAGAACTTACATGGATATGGCACGAACTTTGGGTCTTCCCACTCGGCAGCTCCGAGCTGCAAACCCCATAGACTCCCTGCTGTGCCACCTGTGCCATGGCCTTTCGTTCCCATGTGTTCCCATAGGGGATAGTGGCGCCGGCGGATGCCTGACTATGGAACAGTTTGCCGTGATCCGACGGCAGCAGCTGGACGATGAGGTGGACCGGAGGAGAGCGGGGCTGTACCACAAATACGCCATCCTGGCGATGTATCCCTACCTCAACCGAACCGCCGCCAAGATGGAGCGGATCGCTAAGAGCATCGAGGCTGGTCGTGAGCCTCGTTCTGGGGGCGAGGAGGTCTTCACTCTCTCTTCAGCCCATGATGTCACAGTGGCTCCATTGCTAAGTGCCCTGGGTCTCGAAGAAGCCCGGTTCCCAAGGTTTGCAGCAAGAATTGTCTTTGAACTGTGGAAAAGTCCCCCGACGATACAAGGCCAAGTAAAAAAGAGAGGTGGAAAAGGTGAGAAGTCAAAGGCCAAATACGGCGAAACATTCATCCGGGTGCTGTACAACGGCGAGGACGTGACATTTCACACCTCCTTCTGTCGCCCACACGACCGCCACGTCAGCCAGCCTCTCTGCCCTCTGAAAAATTTCCTGTCTTTTGTTAGGAGAGACATGTTCAGCGTTGTCAATGCCACCTCCTACAAGGAGGCCTGCTACAGGCGCCCCGGTTGACAGACGGAGAGGAGGGCGACTGAGTAAAGCTTGATGGCAGATGGTTGTACTTTCATTTAGAACGTGTTTTGAAGACGGTGTACTCTTACTCTGCTCGTAGTGTCTCCACATTTTATAACATAGTCCTTTTACATTTCTGAGCATGAAGTGTGACACAATCACACACAACATGACCTTCACTTTATAACCTTTCTACAAGCGTACGATCATTTTATAAAGATCTGTTCTCGACTCTATCTGTACAACACAAACAATTCAAGGGAAGTTGAACAGCACTCAGCCACTTTATTCCAACATTCCATGACAACTTGAAACTGCAACATTTCATTATTTCCAAATGCCTGTAAGAAAGAGGAATATTGAAGCTGGAAATACTATGATGGGAATATTTTGTGTATAATAATGTATTTCAGTCAAAACTTTGGGCCAGTTTGAGCTGTAGAACTCAAGATGACCAAGTTTTGTTTTAACATTTAATCTTTGCAGCAGGCTTTGTTTTTAGCAGTAACATTCTCACACGTTGCCGTGCGTCTTTTTATTCTTGGCTTCATTCAAATTGTTTGCGGTACTCTAATAGTGACAGTTTGGTGCTATTAGTAATCACGCCCCTCTTCTCATTTTGGTCTTTCTACTGAGTCTAATAAACGTTTTTCCGAACAGACGTACGTTACTGTAAAACAGTAAAATAAATGCCGTCATGTTTTAATGCTCTGTTCTCTTAGTGTTTTTTTTTTTTTTTTCAACTATGACCCATTTGGTTTGGATTTTAAATACTGAATAAACAAATAAAAGCTGTTTCTAATATTACTTTGACTTACTGGTGATTTTTTATTTTTTTAAAGCGATGATATAAAATCATTGCATCTAAAATGTACCCAGTTATGATTAAAAGTTGTTAAAAAAATTTCTGCAAGAATATCAACAGATGTCGTTTCATACACCTGTTTTGTCACCCTTGTAAAAAATGTCTTGCTTTAGGTGTTAGCTGATCCTTCTACCACCATCTTCCATTTCAACTCACTCTTTTTAAAAAAAAAAATACTGTCTCTGATTTTGACTAAGCCATTTCAACACCCTGGATTTCCACTTCTCGGCCCATTACTTGGTGGATTTTCTGTTGTTTAGGATCATTATTCTGTTGAAATGGCTCCCTCAGGTCCAACTTTCTGACTGATAACTTGAATTATCTTCAAGCATATGCTTCAAGCTGCCAAATGTGTCCTGTGTTAATGAAGCCAAACGGCTCTTTGTTTCATCTGTGAGAGTAGATCCTCCCAAAAGGCAAATTGTTGCTTTAAAGTCTTTATGGAGCATGAATGTGTGTGGATGGCACACAGTTCACAAAGCTCAAACCTCTTTCTTTCTACACGTTTAGATAAAGACAGTTCCAGGAGTTTCCCTTTGATTCTGGGATGGACGGTCTGTATTAGATCTTCTAAAATTGCTTGTCAGACATGAACATCTACAAACATTAGATAATGCTTTGGATCTTGGCATGATTATGCCCCACACTGACAGTGAAGAGACAGCAGTCGCTATATTTGACATTCACCAGGTCACAAGTCGCCCATCTAGGGTTGGGATTGGTTTTATTTTGGCTTAATCTTCAACCACTTACAGAGTTTCCTATTTGTAACTCCCACATGAAAAGGCTTTTGACAAAATAAACTAACAATAAAGGCAAAATAATTGTATGAATGTATTGAAATGTAAAGTGTGAAGAGAGATTCTATTTCTCGGCTGTCCTGGGAACGCCTTGTTGTTCTCCCGGACAAGCTGGAGGAGGTAGCTGGGGAGAGGGAGGTCTGGGCTTCTCTGGTTAGGCTGCGCCTGCGACCCGGCCTCGGATAAGCGGAAGAAGATGGATGGATGGAGTGAAGGTGTGCCTATACAACATGAAGCTAAAATAAAACCCAGTTCCATCCCTACATGGGTGACGACCTCATGGATATCAAAAGAGAAATAAGGAAGCTTTCTATCATTCACGCCTAACCTACAAAACCTGATTATTATTGTTTTGAACCTAAAGTCGTGTAAAAAGTGTGTCTTGACTGATCTGCTGTCTTGTTTAAATTCTTCTTATCTCCTTCTATGTGTGGCTCTGTTGGTTTCCTACATATCTGTACTGAATTACAAGTGCTAATTATAGCTATTTTAGATACTTTTGGGTGGCTTTAGTTTGAAAATATCTGCCCTGTAACCTTGTTGCTTTACAAAGTTGAAATTACTACCGTCAGAGAAATCTGGAGTAAACACTTTCACATGTAGGAAAAGTAACTGAACTGAAGGTGCTTTCCTTCACTCTGTGCCTAATTTGCTCAGTACTGAAGTGATAAGAGCGAGTTGTACTGCATAGACAGTAAAATTACACCACTAGGTGGCGTATTAGCTCCACAGACCATGCATACCTATGCAGTCTGACCCATCTGCTGCTATCAGTTATCCACTTTGTCAGCAGAGCTGCAGGGCCACACCACAGAGGCAATCCATTTATATAAATGTGTGCCTATTCCTCACCACCGGACGAGTCATGTGTCATCATCATTAGGAGCATAATACATTGATGACAAGGTATCTATTGTACAGCTCATTTTCAAAAGTGCCTCAGCTTGTTCGCTGTGTTTTTTTTAGTCTTTTTCCGAATCCTCTGAATCAGGAGAGTATTGACTGGAAAAATGCAATAACATGAATGAGTCGGTAAATTACATTTGCAGTATATGGATGTGATATTTGTCCTGGCGGTAGAGGGCTATTTGGTAGTGAATAAAAGCGTGCACAATTGATGCTGAGGACAGATTACAAATGTCATGTGCTCTAGCAGGAGTTTTTTATTTAGCCACGCTGCAGTCTGAGGGGAGGAGGGCTTGCTGTCGTTTTCAGGAGCCGTGCGAGTTTGTGCTGAGTTTCTCAAAGCGTATTGAACAGTTTCATTGAGTCGCTGAATCTTATTGTCAGACAGGAGTCACTCCGGCATTTGAACAGCAACGCCGGATTAAAAATCACTCGAGTTGCATCCTGGCACTTCCTGTCTCAATCCCAAAGTTCAGGCAAACTGCAAAAGTCTATGCAAATTTATTCCCAAACTTTTCCCCAAGCCTCCGAGGCCATTTCCCATTTTATACCATGACGTCAGGGCTGTTAATGATAGGAGCTAACCTCCTCTGGACGGCTTGATTCCTCCCTCTTTTGTCCTGCCCTCTCTCACCGACGCCTTTCCCTCCAGGCCCTGACACCCCTCTGCCACCCACGCCACTGATGTCATCCTGCCACAGCGAGGTGGAGCAGCAATTTCCTCCTGCCACAACTTGCTTAATCTTTGATGTTGCTACGTCGCCTCCGGCTTTGGGTTATATACCGGTGTCTATCACCCTTCTGTGTGTGTGTGTGTGTGTGTGTGTGCGCGCATGCATAGGAGGGTAAAGACAGATCACGGTGAATGTATCTCAGTTCCAACCTTGTGTGTGTGTGTGTGTGTGTGTGTGTTGACCTACCAACAATGTCCACTTGACACAAAAGCTGCTGTATAGATTTCCAAACAGACCCAGAACAGTAACAGAGGCTGCTGAAAACTGGGATGTGTGTGTGTTGTTTTGGATAGATGAGGGCAAAGCAGCTGACTGACAGCTCAGACAGTAGGAGAGGAGCATTGCGGTCAACGCCAAGGAGAAGGGAAGATGGAAGAGAGGGAGAGGCTGTGGTCATGGTTAGATATTAACCTCATGGAATTATCCCCGGACTCTGCTCGCTCCCAAAACCACAGTTTACCAGCCACTGGTTGGAGGAATTAAAGAGAGATATTAAATTTCATGTTGTGAAGAGGTTTCAGAGCGGGAACAACAGCTACCAGGCTCAGGGCTGAAGGAGGCCTAGTGCAGACCGAAGGGAGCAACTTCCTCTGTCTTCCCACGGTTTCATTCACTGTAACTCATAAGAAATGAGCCACTAAGAATACATAAGAGAAATAAATGTCCCAGGCTCTCAAGGATATTATCTTTACATGTTTCATTGTGGACAGTTTAACAATTTACTGTAAATCGGGGGGAGATTGTGATTTGGGAAGCTGTGATGCTATACTGTCCTGATGCTGAGATAAAGACTTTTCAAAAGAAAAGTCTGACATTTTACAAAGTGCTCCGTTACTGTAAACCCCCCTCACCCAAACCCAGGCTACATTTTTGGAGTCGCTGGTATGTGTTATAAAAGTAGAGTGCCTTAAATGTGCATTTTTTTAAATGGGGTAACTTTTCAGTTTCTCTGTGATGTTGGTGGACATTTAACTGATGAGTTTATGGATAAGGCCATACTGATGAAAACATAATTTTTTTCAGTGATGGTCCTTATTAGCGTCAGAAAGGAATTGGGTAAACAAATGAGTGTGCAGCGTCTTTAGGTTAATATCTGGTTTCAAAACACGAATATAGCAATGGCAAAAATGCTCATATCAAAGGTTTACAACAGGACTTCACTTATTAGTGGATGATACCATGCTGGCTACATCTATGCTTTATAATATATGGCCAGAGCCAGCTTGCTGTTTGCCTGTGTGCTATGCTAAGCAAGCTATCTCCTACAGTGGGGCAAAAAAGTATTTAGTCAGCCACCGATTGTGCAAGTTCCCCCAC